TAATATACCTACTCTAATTTCAAATAAATTTAAAACTGTATGTCTTAGCGAATAGTATTGGTTGGCCATTCGAGTAAAAATTTAATCCAATAAAGTTATGAATTTGAACTATAATTATACTTAWTTGTTATAAATAAGTATAGGTTTAACATAATATTATATTATTATCAGAACACGTCATGTTGCAATACAATAGTAAATAGGCATTATATTATTTAAGTATTATGAAAAATAAAATTGCCTAATTAATTAAATATGTTGTTATTAACGGTAATTTGTTTCTATCACCATGTAGAATGTGTAGATAATGATCATTGAATAATAGTGTTCGCGATTTTATTACGTACCATAGGTTCATCTCTTGTTTCAAGTGATTTTTGTTTATTTAATTGGTTCATTAATTTTTATCTGCTATTCAGCGTTATTACGTAATTAGTATAATCAATCATTTTGCATAATTTAATATTATATTTTGTCTCTTCCATTCGATGTATTGTTTCTTGTGCATGCAGAGCCGTGCAAAGGGGGGGGGGGAATTAGGGCAAGTGCCCCAGGGCGGCAAAAAAGTAGGTACTTTTCCATTATCGCCAAATTCGCCACGGTCACAAAAATTGAAATATCTACTATCTATTTTAAGATAAAATATTTTATCTATGAAAAATGTGTTATAAATTGTAATTTATGATTATGGACTGGTGTGTGTGCCTACACTGGCTTGTTGACCTATGGGYGGCGGCGGGGGTGGGTGACTGAATGGGTAATTAACAAGTTATTTTTAACCATTTTTCGGAAAATTTATTGTTATTGAATAATGGACATGATAATAACTTGATATACTAATATAAATATTTTTATTAATAATAATATGATGGAAAATCGTAAACGGTCTCGCACTGTCATAGTGTTATGTCGCTATATTTTTATATTATTCAATATTCACTATTCAGTATTTCATCATACGACGGAAAGTGACAATTGTACGTACAACGAACGACGAAGGCTTAAGAGTTTATWACAATTTTTACATAGTTTATTTACATTGAATAWTTTTATTATAATATTCAAATGGATCATCATTTTATTTTTTTAAATGGCTGATGCAAATAAACGTAAACTTTTTTTTCTGATATGGAAAATATTGAAGCAAGTGAACTACATAAAAAAGCACTAAAGCTTGTGGAGTATTATGTTAATGATTTAGAAGTAGAATTTGTTGAAGAAATCGTTCAATTTAAAAAATACATAATAAATTTTCCCAACGAAACCAAAAACATGCAAGKAATGTTAAAATACCTTAATAATGATCCACCATTAAACACAACTTTTCCTAATGTTGAAATTGCTTTAAAATTATTTATTTGTATACCATGTTCTAMTGCCAGTGGAGAAAGGTCCTTTTCTGTTTTGAAGAGAGTCAAAAACTATTTACGGTCATCATTATCAAATGAGAAAACATCAGCATTATCAATATTATGTATTGAAAATGAAATTGTCAAGAATATCAGTTGKAYAAGTCTTGTTAAAAAATTCTCAAAACTTAAAGCTAGAAAAAAAACATTTGTATAAAGTTATTTATAAAATCGTTATTCAATATTATAATAAAAAAAAATGTTGTTGTTATTCAAGTTTWTATACGTTTTTTCTGACTACCTCCTAACCAAATTCATAGTTTATTAATTGAGTTGTTTTACTTGTTCATTTATTAATTATTATAAATATAAATAATTCAATGTGAAGTGACCGGATAATAATAAGTAATAACATTATAAATAGTTTCGATTTTTGGGGGGCTTTAAGAAAATGTCTAATGCTCCCTCCCCTCTCTTACGACCACTTGAGATTAGGGGCGCCAAATTTAATTGCCTTAGGGCGCCACTGATGGTTAGCACGGTACTGATAATATTTTAATCAATATTTTTTATTCGTTTTTTTTTTTTAAATCATCTAATCAATTACTTACTTGTTTGTTACGCATTGTAAAAAAAGTGTATTTGTTTCATTGTATATTATTAATTTTGCTTTTATTTCTTTTAAAGTTTTAAACTTTAAAAATAGTTCTAAAGCTCTCTTTTTCTGTTTTATAATGTTAAATCAACTTCAGATTAATTTCATTATTCTTTCAAATGACACAAATCAATTAATGTGTCCGTTATAAATTATAATACCTATACGTAAAACAAAATTACGAAAAAATGTATTKGTAAATATAAGAATCGTGATCTTAATTACTGTAATTCAATAAAAATGTATTTTAAAATTAATTACAATCAGTTTTTTTTTTATAATAAAATATATTATTTATTTAAATATTCTAAATAAAAAACAAGGTGTGTTTAGAATTACTTCAGTGCTCACATATACATGGCATTATTTATAYATTTATATATATATATATAAGCATTATTTCCTCTCAAGACCAAAATTTACTGAACTGAAAACATTTACTGTACTAAAAACATAATTAAAAAAATATACAATATAATATTATTATTATTTAATATTATTTAAACAAAAAATACATACTTCCAGATGAGAGTTTTTGTTATAAATATGATAAATTTATAGRTAGGTAACTACTATAGTTGGATAAGCATATATAAATTAAAAATAATTCATGAGATACTTATAATGAATCCATGTGTACAATGTATTTTATATTTTTATTTGAAAGCCTTTTATTTTATATTAAGATGTATGACAAAGAGAGATGTTAAAAATATCTCGATACAACAAAATACGAGTACAATAAAACAAAAATCACACGTCGTTGTAGTACTAATACATTAATCGCTCCAATATGTATCCAAAAAAATTACAAGCTAATTATAAAGCGATTACCTACTTACTATAAAATATTTAATTTAATTTAATTGTAGATACAACTTAAAATAAACTTCTATTATTATGTTATATTTTGTTATTAATATCAATCACCAGACCTAAGACGACGTATTTTGCTAATCACCAAATAATATGCAAGTGTACAGAGTGACACTTAACTTTACTTAAGGTACGTTAAGAAGTTAAGATGATAATAAATAAAAAAATTAAATGTATAAATTTATATTTATTAAAACTGTAACTACCATAACTTAAATTGTAACTAATGGCCATAGCTGCCGAGTCARTTTGATGAATAAAAAAAAATAAATGTAGGTATATAAAATTATTTTTGATTGAAGWTATTAATAATAGCTCCAGAGCAAGAGAACAACAGAATAAAATTGGTCTCAAAAATACTAATATCGCTCACCATCACATCAATGACGAGTCATATCAGCTTTCTATAGTTATAGCCTATAGGTATCCAAAAGTAATTATCGTTTATTTTTATATTATATTTAAGTATTATGAAAAAGCGAAAAATATTTTAGTCAAACATGTTTGCTAATAAAAAATATACCTTCATATTATAATTATTTATATTTAAGCAATACATAAATAATGTATATATCATTTTCTCAGACTTKAAGAAACACTGAGTCTAATTAAAAGCCCTTTGCTCCTTTTTTCTTTTCTTTTTTTTATTAAAACGAAATATACCCTCGGTGACAGAGACTATTGGGTTACAAAATTTAAGTTACATTGGGTTGAATTTACATTGATAACTATCTTTTTTCTTTTATTCAAGCCACCTCCGTATGTCTTGTAGTATGCGTAGGAATTTTTAATATTTGGTATATTCTAATAATCTAAACGTCAAAATTTATATGAGTTATAATCGGGGTGTCATTCATCACACAAAGTCATATGCCCGTGTGCGAGTAACATTTTATCGGTTTATTCAAATATAATTTCTACTAGGTAACTAAGGTAATTATGAATTAAGACAACCTATATGTAATGAATATTAATATTAACCTATACAAGCAATATATTATATAAAAATACATACTCTGAATGAGAGTTTTCGTTATAGATATGATAAAGATATTATATGTAACAATTAGCGTTATGAGTAGGAAATATTTCAGATGACATTTTCACTTTGGAATATTTCAATGAAATATTGAGAAATATAATATTTTAATATTTTAAAAGTTTTTGTTTTTGGTATGTTTGATAAAATCATCACTAGATGGTCGCACTAATTTTATAGCTGATTAGTGATTATCGGTACACGATTATATCTTTCCTTGGTGTTTATAAAGTATAGTGCCAATTGATAATACTAATATAATATAATATTTATATATTATTATATTTATAATATATTAATATACATATATGATATAATATTAGCACAATAGGCTGTAAATTATAATTTATAATAATACTGTTAGGTATACTAAGGATTTAATAAATATAAAATTTTTATTTTATTTAAATTTAAATAGGCATAGTATATAAARTTTTAACTCATAGATTATTATAATAGGGACTCTGATTATAACTATATGTAATTAGTAATTATAAAGTATTAAATGTACATGAATTATTAAAAAATAGATATAAGTAAAAGTAATTAATGTGTTTTGAAACTATTTTAAGTATGTTTATATGAATTTGTTATAATTTGGATAATGTACAAGGCATGTAAAAAATATTTCAATAACATTTCTACTCTTTTTTTTTCCTGTTAGAAACGACAGCAGAGGAGGACCGGCTTGCATAACACTACTCCTCTGCTGCMAACATTTCTACTCTTGATTTAAATTAAAATGATTTTTTATTATCTTTCATAAAAATGAAATATTTCAAAAAAATAAATTTCATGATATTGTAGAACCCTAGTAACATTAATTGGTTAGTTAAATATTATATATAGATTTAAAATAAATATTTTGGATAATCATTTTTTATTTTGTAAATTCAATGAACTGTTGTAGATTTAGTTCTAAATCTCTATAAGGCAGTAAACATAAATATCTACTTCAACTACAAGTTACAACATWATGAAAATGATCTGTGACGTACTAATAAAGTAATAAACTAATAACTTACTAATCTTTTTTTTATATTAAACGAAATATATACCCTCGGTGGCATTTTATTTAATATTATAAAACATGRCAAGAAGGGATGTTAAAAATATCCCAATACAATAAACACAATAAAAGTAGTCCAACTTTTTATTGTTCAACAATTCAATTAAAATATTATTTTTTCGTCAATACATTATAACCTTTGGTCAATTAATTAATTTAAATCTTAACCAAATTCCTTGTTCTGGCATCAGTGTTAAAACTTTCTTAGAATATTTTAAAGGAATTTCTGTTTTTTCACATGGAAATACTTCAAATTTGGTTAAAATTTCTACCAAAGCCAATTTCATTTCCATCTCTGCGAATCGTTTTCCTATAAATTTAAAAATATATATATACCTAATATAATTGCATATAAATTATACATTTAAAAATATATACCTATACACATTCGAGGTCCATCGCCAAATGGAAAATAAATACCATTGGGTCGTTTTGCTTTTTCTTCAGCCGAAAATCTTTCAGGAATAAACTTTTCAGGGTCCGTATAATACTGACTATCGTAATGTATCGCATAAAGTGGAATTAATATTTTTTGGCCCTTTTCAATTATTAATGAATCGTTGGTAATTTGATATGTTTTTGATGCTTTTCTGAACAAAGCTACTAATGGAGGATACTTTCGAAGTGTTTCTAAAAAATGAATTATTGTTTTTTATATTATACACACACATATATATATATATATATATTTAATTGTATATATACCCTCGGCAACATAGACTATTGAGCTTAAAGCAAAGTATCTTATACTATGATAATTTAAGATAACTGATTAATTTATTATTGGTCATATTGAAAAATATAGTCATACATTATTAAAAATTATATTTAACTCGATAGAATAATTTGATCAAAAATATTGCAATTTTAACTTAAATAAATATCCTAAAATTAAATTTACTAAATTTTTTTTTTCAAAACTGTAAATATTTGTTTTAATAAAATATCAAAATAATAAGATTAATTAACTAGAACTAGGGAAGAAAATAATGATCCAAAACTTTTAATAAATGTCAATTAACAGTAAATTAAATAGTTTTAGCCTTAATTTACAATGAAATAAAAATATTGTAACTCATTAATAATTTAAAAATCAATCAACATTATGGAATAGTATAATTATAATAACAAAAGTTACCTGCTATAGCCATATCCATGTAATTAAGACCCATTAAAAATTCGTTATCAATTTGTCCATCACTTTTTGATAAATTCAATTGAATCTCTTGGCGTACTCTGTCTTGAATAGATTTATTTAACGCTAATTCATATAAACAATAACTTACAGTAGTGGATACAGTTTCAAAACCAGCAGCAAACATAACAAAAGCATTCGCAACGATTTGAGATTCAGTAAATTTTTCTAAACAAAAAAACAAAATATTTGAATTACACAACAAATGATTTTTTTTAAATTTTAATATTTAACATGAAAAAATATCTTACCATGTTCAGGTAAATCTTTATTCAGAACTAAATCATTTCTCGCTTGCATTAAACAATTAACCAAGTCGTTTCTGACAATTTTATTTTCAATTCTATATGTCAACGTTTCTTTAAACGCCTTGTGAAAAAATTCAGTTGCGTCCGTTGGAAAATCTTTCACTCTTACGACTTTCAAAAGTGCGGGAGTAATCATCAAACACAATTCTCTAAAAAGTGATCTTAGCGAAGGTGTGAATATCGATTTACCGTACTTTCGAAATAAGGATTTATTATCGTTTATGGCGTTCAACTTGAGCCCAAAAGCACAAGTGCCGATGACGTCGGTCGAATACTTTCCCATGATATCTCTTATCTCTATTTCGTTGCCGTTTTCATTTAAATCTTTATAGATATTTTTCATCATTTCATCACCGCACTCTTTGATCTGATCGTACATGGTCTTGAGCTTTCCCGATGTGAAAGCGGGCGTCAATTTGTTTCTTATTGTTTTCCATTGAGTATGTTCCATGAAGAACAGGTTGTTCGACAACGGATTGACCGTGAAATCCGAATAAATTCCACGGTCCGGGAAATACGAGAAGTCTTTTATTAGCACTTCATTGATTATTTCTGGATCGCGAACCATCAAATACGGCGTCCTCATCTGGAACAGTCCTCCATATTTGCGACCGACGAACTCGTAATAGATTTTGTTGTAAAATTCTAGAGGATGGTCAATACTCAAAGCTACATTCAAAAAGTTTCCAAACAATGGAATTGGTTTAATGTATGGCACGTTGAGCTTTTCCCATTTTTTAAATGTCGACACGCAGAAATAATAGMCGATCGTAACTATTATCGTACATGTCGTAATAACGTTTATCCACCAATTTGAGGTGAACATGATCTGAGAGCGTTAATTTCAGCGAAATACGACTAACACGATACAGACCCGAGTCAACACTGCATTTCTATATAGTATAAACTAATGCAGTACGATTTGAAGGATCAAAGAGCATTCCGTAGGCTATCTTCAAGAATATATAATTATTATTATTATTATAATTATGACCATCAGGTTTGGAGGGAGTTTCCTGTTCTCCCACGGTATTTTGTTATTGTCTACCAAATCACCGCCGCGCGCCGTAGTAGGTCAGTCTACAGTAATATGTGAAATTTAAATACTCTATTGGTACCTATATGTTTTAAAGATAATTGGATAGTATTTATAAGTTATAATTATTTAATTCTCATACAATTATTAACCGAAATTGTTATCACGCCATTAGCGTTAAAGTTACTATAAACAAAATATTTTCATATTATTGTATTACTTATATATCATTATGATAATTATTATTAGCACATTAATAGTATTATAAACCGGTTTACGTTGTTGCGTTTGTGTATAAACATGTGTAAATCAATAATACTTATCCAATTAATGTTTTCAAAACCGATTACCATACTATGTAGATCAGACAATTATTAAAATAGCTAATCATATATTGATGTCATAATATTTTTCGATTCACCGATACTCAAACACTATTGTTACTTGTTTGTATTTCTCTTTCATAGATGGTCTTCGTCGATGGATGGTAGTGAGAACTAACTACCTAATATATAATATTGTATACCTTGTTCACCTCTACATAAGTAATTACATAATTCAATATTTTCTGGCTTTAGGCAAAGTTATAAGTCAGAAATCATAACAAATGTACGGTTAAGTTCATCACACTATCACAATAAAATATTATTGAAACGGGGCATCAACTACTTTCTACTATTTAGTTATTAAACAAGTTATAAAAAAAGTCTAAGAATCTAAATGTACAGTGGTTAGTAGAAATAAAAAACCATATCCGTGGATTTTCTGTTGTGGCCTTAATATAATAAATAATAATATATGAAATAGTGCGTAGTCGTCACCCGGAGAATTCCGACTGACAGAGTCAGTTTAATAAGACTGACTAAACCTAAGCAGATGGTCCCAGTATTGGCGAGTACCCTAATCAGTAATCACAACAAAATTATATTCAAATTGTTATTAGTTGTTTACAAATACAACTTTTCCCATTTATTAATAAAATTACCTAGAATTTTTATCTTTTTTACTATTTTACTCCCTTCCTCAAAAAAGTGTCAACTAGAATTGTTTTATTATCAGTAAAGACATTGAAGTTCAAAATCTAAGCATTTTTACTGCTCCTATAGATGATGACATTAGAAAAATCACACATCACAATAATAAAATAAATTTATCGCTACAATCAGAATCTGAAAAAATTATAAAATTATAAAGTGATTATTCATTATAAAATATTTTATTTTATTTTTATCCTGTTTTACATAAGCTTCTATTGTTATATTTATGTTCTATCATCAATCATCTTGGCTCGAGCGAGGAATTTCGCTTATTGCTACATCATATGCAAGTGTGCAAAGTGACACTCACCTTATAACACTAATGACGTTATGTCGATAAGTTATCAAAAATATATTTGAAAACATATAGATTGGAGATATTAATAGCCTCAAAAGAATGGAATAATGTTTAGGTAAGGCCAGGGACGGATAGGCAGTTTTTTTCTAACAGGGAAAATATGTCATGGGGTCGTCACATAAACCAAAAAAAAAAAGTGCTCACTTCGTTCGCAACTGACATTCAATACAAATATTATTATCTTCAATCTCATATATTTCATGTATTTTTTAAGTAAAATATAAGACAGTGCACTTCAATAAAAAAAATAATAATAAATTAGGATTTTAAAATGAATAATAAACATGGTAAATTAAATGTTGGTTATTGATTTAAAAAGAATATTAATATTTGATAAGGTATACTTAACATAATAATAATTTGCTTAACACTGAACTTTTACTCGCTACTTTGTCTATAAGTTCATTCCATTATCTATACCCTATACGTATATAAATATTCTCATTGCTAAATTCCTAAATGTAATATTATTATAAATTTCCATCCACTGTAACATGCATGACCTTATCATATTGTTCTAAAAATAGCAGTTTATAATTTTCATTAGTAATATCTTCACCCACGATTTAAGATAGTACTATCTTAAATCGTGTTTTAACCACAACAATATTTTATCATTATAGTAAAAGGTACTGTTTACAATAATAAATAAAAATCACAAAGGCCAAGAGTTTTAATGGACATTATTAAATATTAATATTTTCTAGTTTGTATACCTATCTAGATTTATAATTTAATTTAATATACAAATACCAAGTCGAATGGTGGCCCGGGAGCCACCAAAATATACTTGAACAGGGGCCCACAGGGAAAACCCCTATTTCCCTCATGGGCCTATCCGCACCTGGGTAAGGCCGTGGTTCTCAAAATAATAATAACGTTCACCACATAACGACAATGATCTCTTTAAGGTTATTCAAAAATTGTTCGTTTATATTTATATAAAGTATTATGAAAAAATGTAAAAAATATTATAGTTAAACGTGTTAGTTAATAAATACACTTTTATGTGATGATAAATCAATAATAAATATATAATTKTCTAGGGAATAACATTAACTTATTTTTAATAGGTAGCCTTCCAAATGAGTTTCATCGTTTTTTTGCTGTTTGTTATCTTATYGTGTAAACTATTTTAAAAATAGCAAAAACTTTATTCAGGTTTTTTGTGTATAGGGACACCCAAAATTATAAATTACCATATTGGTTATTAATGAGTAGATTAAGTCAAGGAAAAAAGTAACTTTTAACTAAGATGCCRAGTTAACAGGTTAAATTGTTTTAAATAAGTATTCTAACTTAATTAATTAATCTTTTTTGTGATAAGCAGTTAGTTATTGGTTAATTTATCTCATAGTCACGTTAAGTTAATTCTTTTTTTCTTTTTTACTGTTATTTGTTTGTTATTAATACTGTAAATACTTTTAACACATTTAATTTCTGTGCTTCAAAAGTTTGAATGTTTCGGTTGAAAGCATAAAAAATTGTTAACAAAGTTAATCACTTCTATTTAACTAATTCTAATAGTTCCAAATTCATCGACAAATTAATTGTACGATTTATTTTGAAAATTGACACTGTAAGATGCCTATTTTCTGTATTTCAGTATTTATGAGAGTGCATCATGATATAATATAATATAACATTATATTATATTTATAATATTTTATATTAAACAGATATATTTCCAAATTGTCAGTGAACACTACTTACACAAATATATGAAGTTCAGTAAAGTTTAAATAGTATTGCACTATAGTAGAATACACTTAAACGTTTCAAGACAAGTGTATAAACAAGTAAATATAAATACCACTCGGAAGCGAAGAGTATGTATTAGACACTTGTGTCTGTATATATATATAACTTCTGTACACTATAAACTTAGATAAAATACAAAATGATAGAATACTCTATATATAACATAATATACTAGCATATAATATATGTGTAGAAAAAAAACTATATTGGAGCCAAAAAGTGTCTAATACACCGCAATAAAGGGTGATGGAAAGACATCAATGATTTGAAGTTTTCTGGCTGATTTATCGGATGAGATTGGACATCCCTATTGCAAGCTTTTTGGCCACGTTCCCGGTATAAGTGATTAATGTTAACTAGGGGCTTGAAATAAGCAGGAAGAAAACGTTCACGAGCAGACGATGTGTTGAATTTAAACCGAGTACTTATGAACCACAACTGTAATGTTTATCCACGTGTTTTCTCCAGATCGAGAGAATTTTGGTTCTATGAAATTTGAACGTYCAATAAATGCACTAATAAGACGTATTAATTTATTTTTCGATTCTAGGTCATCAGCTTGGAAGGATGGGTAGACATAATGTATTACGTCCAAGACGCTCATTCATTCTGGGACTGGATTTATTTCGTGCTGCTCATCGTGGTAAGTTTCACACATGATTAGAATCGGTATTAATTTAGAAGATGAAAATATTTAAGTTAAAAAAAATATCTCAATTAAATATGGAAATAATAATAATATTGTATAATACCAGTTAATGTATAATATCTTATTTGTATACACTTGTATTAGCGAGAACATCCCAAGTAAATTAAGCTACATAACCAAACATTCGATACTTACCTATATAACTTAGGTATACAACGCTAAAATGTAAACATAATAATTAATTAATTAGTAGCTCTGTGTTTATTATTGAT